GGCCCACTCACAGCCACATCCCCACCCACGGCCCCGCCCACGGCCCCCTCACAGCCACATCCCCACCCACGGCCCCGTCCACGGCCCACTCACAGCCACACTCCATCCACGGCCCCGCCCACGGCCCACTCACAGCCACATCCCCATCCACAGCCCCGCCCACATCCCCATCCACAGCCCACTCACAGCCACATCCCCATCCACAGCCCCGCCCACATCCCCATCCACAGTCCACTCACAGCCACATCCCCACCCACGGCCCCGCCCACAGCCCACTCACAGCCACATCCCCACCCACGGCCCCGCCCACGGCCCACTCACAGCCACATCCCCATCCACAGCCCCGCCCACACCCCATCCACAGTCCACTCACAGCCACACTCCATCCACGGCCACGCCCACGGACCACTCACAGCCACATCCCCACCCACGGCCCCGCCCACGGCCCACTCACAGCCACATCCCCATCCACAGCCCCGCCCACACCCCATCCACAGTCCACTCACAGCCACACTCCATCCACGGCCACGCCCACGGACCACTCACAGCCACATCCCCACCCACGGCCCTGCCCACGGCCCACTCACAGCCACATCCCCATCCACAGCCCCGCCCACACCCTGTCCACGGCCCACTCACAGCCACATCCCCATCCACAGCCCCGCCCACATCCCCATCCACAGCCCCGCCCACATCCCCATCCAAGGCCCCGCCCACGGCCCACTCACAGCCACATCCCCATCCACAGCCCCGCCCACACCCCATCCACAGTCCACTCACAGCCACACTCCATCCACGGCCACGGCCCACTCACAGCCACATCCCCATCCACAGCCCCGCCCACACCCCACCACAGTCCACTCACAGCCACACTCCATCCACGGCCCCGCCCACATCCCCAGCCACAGCCCCGCCCACACCCCCGTCCACGGCCCACTCACAGCCACATCCCCATCCACAGCCCCGCCCACATCCCCACCCACGGCCCCGCCCGCCTCTTCCCTGCCCGAGGCCGCCTGGCACCCACGTCCACGTGCAGGGTCCTTCTTGGGCCACACAGTGACCCCCGAGGAGCGGAGGGAAAAGCGCGGCCCGGTGCCCAGTCCGGGAGGGAGACACGGGAGGAGGAGGGAAGGGGCGCAGCGGCCGGGGCCCTCCCCCCCTCTCCCCCCCTCTCCCGCGCGCCTCCCGGGCCCGCTCCTCCCCGCCTCCTCCTCCCCGCGCTCCTCCCCGGGCGGGCGGCCCAGAAGGTGGCCTTCTTCCCCCCCCCCACCACGAAGAGGTGACGCGCCCACGTGGCCAGACACGAGGTCACCAGCGAGGGCCCGCTCTCAGTGCACACGCGCGATCCAAGGTCGCCTTTTTTCTAACCCTTGGGACAAGCAGGCCAGGAACTGCCTACGGGACAGAGCGGCCTCCCATTGGCTGTTGTCGCTAGGTCCTCGGTTCCTATTGGCTGTAGGATGCGCGCACGAGCCGAGCACGTTTCTTCGCGTCCCTCAGCGTTGGGCCGCGGACGGCGTCGCAGCCAATGGGAGGCCCAGGGGGCGGGGCCAGCGGCGCGGGGCGTCCGAGCG